AGTTGTGGTTTGCGAAACCTTAATAGGGACCACCTTCCTGTCCACGTGTTTACCAGAATTCTCATGACCCTATTAGGAGCTATGGATAATTGATAAAGTGTAGTTGTGGTTTGCGAAACCTTAATAGGGACCACCTTCCTGTCCACGTGTTTACCAGAATTCTCATGACCCTATTAGGAGCTATGGATAATTGATAAAGTGTAGTTGTGGTTTGCGAAACCTTAATAGGGACCACCTTCCTGTCCACGTGTTTACCAGAATTCTCATGACCCTATTAGGAGCTATGGATAATTGATAAAGTGTAGTTGTGGTTTGTGATACCTTAAGAGGGACCACCTTTCTGTCCACGTGCTTACCAGAATTCTTCTGACCCTATTAGGAGCTAAGGATAATTGATAAAGTGTAGTTGTGGTTTGCGATACCTTAAGAGGGACCACCTTCCTGTCCACGTGCTTACCAGAATTCTCCTGACCCTATTAGGAGCTATGGATAGTTGATAAAGTGTAGTTGTGGTTTGCGATACCTTAAGAGGGACCACCTTTCTGTCCACGTGCTTACCAGAATTCTCCTGACCCTATTAGGAGCTATGGATAATTGATAAAGTGTAGTTGTGGTTTGCGATACCTTAAGAGGGACCACCTTCCTGTCCACGTGTTTACCAGAATTCTCATGACCCCATCAGGAGCTATGGATAAGCCAACTACATTTTTCAGAAACACTTCCAAAAGGGATAATAAACTGATATAGCCGAGTGTGGTTCCTGATAACGCATTAACAAAACTCAAATGTTCCGTGTAAACAGATACACAGATTCAAGTTCAATTTAACCACATACCGTATTTTAAACCCCACAGTTTTCCAAAGGTTTATTTATCGCTTAACTTTGTTATATTTCATCATATATCTAATGAAGAGCCAAACTATGCCATGAACAAAGCATCGTGATTCAATTTTGGAGTATTAAAAATATCAAGTCCTTTAAAATTAGATACCTCGCCTCTGTCAAAGTCTGCAGAACCTTATCATGAACGATTCTTTTTGAGATACATAAATTCAAAGTAGGGCTGAACTTAGAAAACTACTCTTCCCGAAAGGCAATGTTTTGAAACTTTAGACATTTATTAGTACTAAATTGAAATACTAACGTTTGCTGATAGAAGCCGGATTCAATATTTTACTAAGAACACGCTAGCTACAAGAAGTTAGAGACAGCCGTTTCCCTTAGATAATGTGAGAAACGTTGATGAGAAAAATTCGGTTTTAAAACTGAATGAATATATGAAATGGCGTTTCACAAGCAATTCTATTAAAACTCTCCTTTGCTATTAAATTATTCGATTTGAGAGTCCACAAACAATGATTTGTAGGTTGTGTGTGTGAGAGAGACAGAGAGAGAAGTGATGCCAGAAGACACAAGACAACAGAAATGCACGGCTAACTTCCTCTAAATCCCTATACGTCTACTGTTCTGCTCTACTGAAAATGACAACTTTCTTTGGCAACGGGGTGTCGAATCTGTGAATCGCAGATTTATAGTCGAGAACGCTAATGATTAGGCCACGCTAGGCCCTGAACAACTTTCGCTTTTATCTACTGTGGTACTACCCATAAAGTATTTTATATCAGCTAAACGCAGAAAAGCGTATTCATTTTAGTAAATGTCTATAGGAAAAAGGCCTAAACATTGGCTTTCAAATATGACCCAAGACACTGGTGTTTATAAAAGAAACTTAAACAACGCTTTCTTTACACAACCTCAAAATTACAGTAAAGCTTATTGTCATATATAATTTAATAATTTACTTATTATGAAGTAAGTTATCATTAAAATATTGTTTATTTGTAATTAAGCACAAAGCTACACAATGGGCTATCTGTGCTCTGCCCACCACGGGTATCGAAACCCGGATTCTAGCATTGTAAGTCCGCAGACATACCGCTGTGCAATTGATGATACAGTACTCTAAAACAAAAAATCAAATAACAATAAATATATGGAGAATTTTAAAGTGTAGATAATATAAAATAACTGTATGTATCTGTAACTAAAATATTTTACATTGGAAGTATGAACCTATATTTATAATATTCATTGTAAAAGTAACATTAGATATTTGAATATGAAACTGAATTATCTCAAGTACTTCGTGTAATAATATCAAATATAAAATACAATTATTATTAGCCTTAATCAATTTAAATGCTGTGTTAATGGCAGATATTTTTCAAAAGATAGGATTGAGCAGGTAATCAACTGATATAAGAAATTATAAGCTTCTCCCTTAGTCTAATCAAAAACACCTTACATGTCAAAAAAAAATTCGGCCAAAAAAGGATTGTGTGTGCGACTTAAATGAATGAAACCAAAATTGGCTGCCAAACTGGTAGCTACACTTATAGCATTCATAAGGATTTTACAACAAATATTCATTCATTAGTTAGCCAGGCCGCGTTTTTTGTTCAAATTGGGGCATGATGGTGAGTAGGATAGACCTTTACTTTACAGAACCAACCAGATTCTTTAAAATATGTGGTGGTAGTTTCTCCTCACTAAAACAGTGTTAATTACTTCCTTTATAGTAATGCTAAGGAAACTAGATTAACAGTTTCATGTCATCGCCGCACATGCACTCGGTACAGCCGTATCAAGCATCATTAGTCACGCTAATTGCTTAAGCTAATATCACGTGACTCTAGACGCTCTTTAATCTAGCAAATCTTTGCTTAAAAGTTCGCAATGAATAATAACCGTCCACCCGTGTGATTCTTTTGAAAACTTGAGCTAAAAATTGTTAATCTAGTTTGCTTTGCCTAACCCATATTTATGTATCTGCACGTGATTTCACCCTACAGTTTAGATGCTTTAACTCAGCCGTTTTTAATCCGAATGAAAAAACTACTTTTACTTTTAGTTGAAGCTGTAGTAAAAATTCTATACCGACAGCTCACTTTTTGCGTAGACACGCGCATAATTTTTTGTCAAAATGGAACAGTTTTTGTTGAATAACTTTGCACATGTGGCTTATATTTAGACCACATTTGACACCCAATTGTAAGTTGTAATGATCAATCAGAGTGAGAAAATTGAAAAAGTCCATGAAAATTAAATATGTTTTTCTGT